GGTCCCCTCGTCCAGTCCGGCACCAGGCGACCCGACCCTACCACTACCCCGCCCGCACCCCCGCCGCCTCCTCCGCCGCGCCCAGCCTTGGGGCGGCGACCCTTCCCCAAACGGACCTGCGCTGCAGCAGCAGTCTCAGCCACTGCGGCAGAGCCGTCGGAGAAGGTGCACTGAGCGGGGGCACAACCCTGAAAGATAGGGACCGGCACGACACCGCTCGCCTGGGCAATGGAGCGGTGACGGGTCTCTATCACAGTCAGGGTGTCTACAAAGTCAGTGAGGGTGAGGTCTGCGGGGTGAACGCTAAGAAAGCGGTCGCGGGCGACAGCAAGGCGGTCAGGGAGGCGGGTGGCAAGCAGGTAGAGGGTAGAGGTAATGGGCGGCTGGTGGGCTCTAAGCTGGGCGTCAGTGCAGGCAGCGCGCCAGGTCTCATCTATCGAGCGCAGGTGGGCAGCGAGGTCAGAGACAGTGGGGAAAGATGCAAGGTCAGGAAAGAGCATCGGAAGGATCAGGCGACCCACCGAGGCAGCCTGAGGCAAACTCGCCACCACGGTCTGAGTGAAGACGCAAGACAGGGAGACCGCGGTGGACACGCGCAGAGACAAGCCAGGGGATGAGGGCGCCAGGCATGTCGGCCTTGCGCTCCAGTGGAAAGACTGTGGTGTTACGAGTGAAGTCGTCGACAAGCACAAGGAAGTAGCGCTCTCGACGTGGCCCAGGGACGGGGGCGGGGCCCCAGACGTCCAGGTGCAGGGTCTGCAGTGGCGCGGCGGTAGGGGGAAACGAGGAGGAGTGAGGGGCACGGCGAAGCCGACCCTCGACACAAGGCGTGCAAGGTGGGGCTGGAGAGGAGGGAAACGCGGGGAGCGAACCTGGGAGACCAAGGACGAGACCGTGCTGGGACATGTGACGCAGACGCGGGAGCGCAGGGTGACCTAGGCGGTGGTGCCACAGGAGGGTCGGGTGAGTGAGGGAGCGACAGGAGCAGGCAGCAGCAACCTGGGTAGATGCAGCCACCTGAGGGGGCGCTCTAGCCGGGGGGGTCGCGGTGTCCAGAGTGAACAGGCCGGACACCGGGTCCCGGGGGAACGTGCACAGGGGGGCACCAGTGGCGGCCTCGGTACAGACAGCATACCGCTCGTGGCCAGGGAACGTAGTGGTGACGCCAAGGTCCTGGAGGCAGCCGACACCAACTAGGTTCCTGGAGAACGAGGGGATATGCAGACCTGTAAGAGAACCCAAAGGAACCGCCGGACAGGGAAGGGTGGTGGAACTGCGGGCGACTACCGGACCGCCGGAGGGGTCAGCAAGAGAAACGGCAGCAGGAACAGGAAGCGGCGTCAGGGTGGTGGAGTCGCGGAAGAAACACCGAGAGGCGCCAGAGTCCAGGGTGAAGGACAGCGAAGCCGAGGGGTCTGGCGACGGAACGACGGCGGAAGCACCAAGACTACACAAAGCAGGGGAGCCTACGCCTGACGCAGCAGGGGAGGCTAAGCTAGGCACACCTACACTAGGCAACAGTGAGTAATAAGCGGGAAGCACACTAGAGTCATCAGCATACATCACATGCAGAGCGGAAACAATGGCATCCATGTCCATATCAAAAATCTGAATCTGACGACTAAGCAAACTGTGCCAGTCCGGGAGGTCTGGCGACGGGCCGAAGCGCTGACGAAAGAGGTCGTCCAGGCGACGAAAACAGCGGGGAGTGGAGTGACCGATCTTACCGCAAACGAAGCCGCGGCGAGGACCGGTCTGGATCTGGTACTGACAACGCCCGCCGCCAGAGCCACCACGCGGCACACCACCACGCGCCCGGCCACCGCCAGCGCCGGGCCACCCTGGCGGAAGGACACTCGGCTGCCGCGTCTGCGGCGGCTGCTGCGGCTGCTGCGAAGGCTGCGACTGCGGCGGCTGCTGCACCTGCAGGGGCGGCGACTCAGCTGAACTGGGCAGGGTCCCCTCGTCCACTCCAGTACCAGGCGACCCGACCCCACCACCACCCCCGCCCGCACCCCCGCCGCCTCCTCCGCCGCGCCCAGCCTTGGGGCGGCGGCCCTTCCCCGAACGGACCTGCGCTGCAGCAGCAGTCTCAGCCACTGCGGCAGAGCCGTCGGAGAAGGTGCACTGAGCGGGGGCACAACCCTGAAAGATAGGGACCGGCACGACACCGCTCGCCTGGGCGATGGAGCGGTGACGGGTCTCTATCACAGTCAGGGTGTCTACAAAGTCAGTGAGGGTGAGGTCTGCGGGGTGAACGCTAAGAAAGCGGTCGCGGGCGACAGCAAGGCGGTCAGGGAGGCGGTGGCAAGCAGATAGAGGGTAGAGGTAATGGGCGGCTGGTGGGCTCTAAGCTGGGCGTCAGTGCAGGCAGCGCGCCAGGTCTCATCTATCGAGCGCAGGTGGGCAGCGAGGTCAGAGACAGTGGGGAAAGATGCAAGGTCAGGAAAGAGCATCGGAAGGATCAGGCGACCCACCGAGGCAGCCGGAGGGGTGGAATAGCGCTTGATCACAGCATCTAAGTATGCCTGAGCAGTAGTGAGGGACCTAAAGCGAGGACGCTCGGATGGGGGAAGGGCGTTGCTAATGGCAAGCTGGGCAACAGCATCGCGAGAAAGCCAGACAGAGCGCGCACGGGCAGTGGCAGCAGTAGCCTCACGCTCAGTGGGTGTGGGGTCAGCGGGCAGAATAGCAGGGGGGTCTGGGCAGGGGAGCGTACCGTCAAGGTGTGCGGAAAGCGGTTCACCATCCTGCCGCTGGCCAGTGAGTTGACGGCGGAGGTCGGCAAGCCTCGCCTCGAACTCTAGGGGCTGACCTTCAGCGTCGAAGCGAAGCTCCGCCGCCATCAGGAACAGTCCAGTGCAGTGCGGTGCAGTGCGGTACAGTGCGGTGCAGTGCGGTGCAGTGCGATGCAGTGCGGTACAGTGCGGTGCAGTGCGGTGCAGTGCGGTGTAGTGCGGTGTAGTGCGGTGCCAGGTAGGACAGTGTGGTGCGGGGCGCCACGGAGCAGGGCGGGGTGGGGGGGAACCATACCAGTGAGGAGGACGGGGCCGGGGCTGGCCCGACGGGGCCGGGCGGCCGCGACGGGGCCGGGCTGGTGCGACAGGGCCGGGACGGGGCGACGGGGCCGAGCGGGCGCGACGGGGCCGGGCTGGGGCGACGGGGCCGGGCGAGTGCGGCAGGGCCGGGCCGGTGCGACGGGGCCGGGCGAGCGGGACGGTGGCCGGGCGGGTGCGACGGGGCCGGGCGGCTGTGACGGGGCCGGACAGGGTGGGACGGGGCCGGGCGGGGCGACGGGGCCGGACGGCTGCGACGGGGCCAGGCAAGGGCGACGGGGCCAGGCGGCTGCGACGGGGCCGGGCGGGCGCGACGGGGCCAGGCGGCTGCGACGGGGCCGGGCGGGCGCGACGGGGCCGGGCGGGTGCGACGGCGCCGGGCGGGCGCGACGGGGGCCGGGCGCTGCGACGGCGCCGGGCGGGCGCAACGGGGCCGGGCGGCTGCGACGGGGTCGGGCAGGGTGCGACGGGGCCCAGGAGGGGCGCTACAGGCCCAGGGAGGGCGCGACGGGGCCCAGTAGGGGCGCTACGGAGCCTAGGAGGGCGCGACGGGGCCTGGGAGGGGCGCGACGGGGCCCGGGAGGGCGCGACAGAGCCCAGGAGGGGCGCTACGGGGCCTGGGAGGAGTGCGACGAGGCCCAGGAGGGGCGCTAGGGGCCTGGGAGGAGCGCGACGGGGCCTGGGAGGGGCGCGACGGGGCCTGGGAGGGGCGTTACAGGGCCCAGGAGGGGCGCTATGAAGCCCAGGAGGGGCGCGACGAGGCCCAGGAGGGGCGCTACGGGGCCCAGGAGGGGCGCGACGGGGCGCTACGGGCCTGGGAGGAGCGCGACGGGGCCCAGGAGGGGCGCTAGGGGGCCTGGGAGGAGCGCGACGGGGCCTGGGAGGGACGCGACGGGGCCTGGGAGGGGCGTTACAGGGCCTAGGAGGGGCGCTACGAAGCCCAGGAGGGGCGCGACGAGGCCCAGGAGGGGCGCTACGGGGCCCAGGAGGGGCGCGACGGGCGCTACGAGGCCTGGGAGGAGCGCGACGAGGCCCAGGAGGGGCGCTAGGGGGCCTGGGAGGAGCGCGACGGGGCCTGGGAGGGGCGCGACGGGGGCCTGGGAGGAGCGTACAGGGCCCAGGAGTGGCGCGACAGGGCGCTACGGGGCCTGGGAGGAGCGCGACGGGGCCCAGGAGGGGCGCTAGGGGCATGAGCGGAAGCGGTAGGTGGGGGATCCTACCTACGCGTGATACCATATCAAAATTGGAATTGTAATTGATGGTAAAGTGAGAGTACACACAAATATACCTAAGTGTTGTACCCTCTAAGAGGTAACCCTATACAGTCTATACAAACATGACAAATACAGATGTTTGACATGTTCAAAGTTTGGATGTCGGGATGTCGACAACATCCACGTCATCCCTACAGAACCACGATAAGAAGCTCATTGCCATGCCACCCTTCCACAAATGCCGATGTCATCCATCTTAGAACCTGCCCTTCTGTGCAGGATATGGCTGCCTGGTCAGAAGGGAAGTGGAGCCAACCAACCCATCACTAGCTGTGAAAATGCAGGTGGCATCCAGCAAATACTGATCTTAGGCAAAAAACGTTCCGTTGCCGGGACTTGAACCCGGGTCTTTCGGGTGAGAGCCGAATATCCTAACCGACTAGACTACAACGGATGTGACACCATTGTAATAAATGTATTTTTATTATCGTCATTAAAAACATGTTCATGCGAAAGCATTCGTTTGCTTAGTCATTACAATGTAGGACATGGTTTCCCTTCTCCTTGACGCCAAGTAGCCGGTCGACATGTCGCGATGGCTCCTTAGAATAGAGAAGCAGTCGCTGCGCCGAGTCAAGAAGCTCTTAATCACCGTTGACAGATAAGCAAGCGCGTCAGGAATCTAAAGCTCATCTGGAAGTTCTCCATAGTCTGCTTCGCTATCTCCTTTTCCAGGGTATCGCAGGGCCGCATTGGGGATCAGACGTAGAATCGGGACCGTACGTTAGGTCGCATTTTTTCCAGAATCGGACGGCCAAGGCCGAGAACATTATGGGAGACGGTATGATAGTGGGTACGAGAGGAGGGGACAGAGGACAGCAGAGACATATTCAAATGTCAGAAGCGGGAGATACAGTAACGAGAATTCGCTGTATTCGGAAAGTTTGGAAGGTTATACGGACGGAACTAGGGCAAGACAAAGCTTTTCAGGACAAGCAGCTGCAGCAGTACAGTGATAAGTTGGAATCGACGAATAGTTACAGCTCACCGGCGGTTCAGCATAAGAAGATAGAACCTCGTCCCGGTATAATCACACGACTGGCGATTTCCTTATGGCGTTTCGTGTCCAGGCCAGCAGCTCCGCCTGTTAACCAAGCCCCATATTGTCACATTCACAGAATAAAGAGCCGAAGCACCAGCAACAGCAGCACAGCAGCAGTAGCGACGGTAGTGACGGCAGAACGACGGATGAAATACACACTGAGAAAGAAGGAGAAGCGGAGGTGGAGGAAAGAGAGGAGGGGGAGAGGGGGAGAGAGACAGAGACAGAGACATAGACAGGGACAGGGAAAGGCTAACAGAGATAAATAAGAGAAGGAAGAGGAACTCCTTAACAGCGATCCTTCCTCCATTCGCTACGCTTACGTCACGCTACTAGTGATGACGTCCATGGCCCCTGGAGCCATGGTTCTGGTGCACTCCCTGAAGCGCACGGGACCCCGCATGACGTGGTTGTGCTTACAATGAATGTGAGTGTAGGCACGGCGTCGCGGCTGCAGCTGCTGGGAGCGAGAGTGCGGCAAATTGAAGAGGCGATTCCGTACCCGTTCCCAGCCACGCCCAACAGAGTCGCCATCAACAAACCGTGCAGGTGGGAGGCTGCATGGCTTTCTAGTGCTTACAATGAATGTGAGTGTAGTCACGGCGGCACGGCGTCGCGGCTGCAGCTGCTGGGAGCAAGAGTCAAAGAGGCCATCCCGTACCCTTTTCCGGCCGCGCCCAACAGAGTCGCCATCAACAAACCGTGCAGGTGGGAGGCTGCATGGCTTTCTAGTGCTTACAATGAATGTGAGTGTAGTCACGGCGGCACGGCGTCGTGGCTGCAGCTGCTGGGAGCAAGAGTCAAAGAGGCCATCCCGTACCCTTTTCCGGCTGCGCCCAAGAGTCGCCATCAACAAACCGTGCAGGTGGGAGGCTGCATGGCTTTCTAGTGCTTACAATGAATGTGAGTGTAGGCACGGCGGCACGGCGTCGCGGCTGCAGCTGCTGGGAGCAAGAGTCAAAGAGGCCATCCCGTACCCTTTTCCGGCCGCGCCCAACAGAGTCGCCATCAACAAACCGTGCAGGTGGGAGGCTGCATGGCTTTCTAGTGCTTACAATGAATGTGAGTGTAGTCACGGCGGCACGGCGTCGCGGCTGCAGCTGCTGGGAGCAAGAGTCAAAGAGGCCATCCCGTACCCTTTTCCGGCCGCGCCCAACAGAGTCGCCATCAACAAACCGTGCAGGTGGGAGGCTGCATGGCTTTCTAGTGCTTACAATGAATGTGAGTGTAGGCACGGCGGCACGGCGTCGCGGCTGCAGCTGCTGGGAGCAAGAGGCTGCAGA